CCTGCTGAATTATTCTAGTGGTCCCTGGCCTGCCCTTGGCCCATGCTAACCTGAACACTCCCAAGCGGTCTCCCAGCATGGTTCGGGTGTTGGCACAGGCCACAGCAGTGGGCAGTTGGCATACAGCCGCCCTGTGCTGGAGGTAATAGTTATGGATGCCGGCTGGTCTGTGCCAGTTGGTATCAGTGCCAGGGACAACCCTGGGCATGTTTAATTTCCTCATTTACAGGTGCTGCCCTGGAGCAGCGGTGGTGCGGCTGGGCAACGCGGAGGGAGTCGCCTGCCTCAGTGCTGCGGAGTTGTCTGTCTATCCTGCCTGAAGTCTTTGGGAAGCTACTTCCAACATAAAACACTTAGCATTTGTAAAGGGAGAGCAGAACATCTATCAAACATGGAAAGATCAAAAACTGTGACTCCCTGCGGAGAACTGTTGGGAGGGAAACAGCTGAATAATGTTGAACATACTCAGATCTCTGACTTCACCTAATGCACACTGTGAAGGCTGTGTTTGTAGTCAAACGATGATTCATTCTTATGGATGTGGAAAAGCTTTTGTGCTTCTGCCCTGAAAGACACTGCTCTATTATTTGTTTGAGAGGCAACGCCAGTTGCTTCTGCCTTCTCATAGACAAATATAAGCATGAATATTGATCTGGAGTGTGATTTTTGGTTTTTTGCTGAAAAGGCAGGCCTGGCTGTGGAATGGTTTGGGTGGCTTGGTGCTTGGTACACTGAAAAGACTTGAGAGCTGACAAGGGCATGTAAAAACTCAACTTTCTGAAAAAATTCAGGTTCCCTAAACCTCAGTGCTAATTTGTCCCTTTGTGGATATCAAGAGTATTCACTGGACATGCTCAGGAATCAGGAACCACTGTGGTTTTGAGGACAAAAACACTGAAACAGCTCACCTCTTCACTTTGAAAGGCTCCTCACCCCAATCTCCAAAAAGAGCCTTTAAACTTCAGCCCATTCACTTTTAAAGGGTTGGGTATATGAAAACTTTGGTGACAGCCTTTCCTCACTGCCCAGCCTTAGTAACTTGGCAGGGTCAAGGCAGGAGCACTGTAATGGCAGCAGCAGCTCCTGCAGCCCCCTTTTCTCACAGGAAAACACCAGGAGAAGGTTAGATGCTTCTGGCAGATCCCGTGCTGCAGGCAACACAAAGATACTCTGTGCTATGTGAACAGTCAAACTACTCCCTCTTCCCGAACCAATTTCCTCAAATTTCAGTTGCTCTCATGCTCCCAGCAGGACTTTTTTCTGCTTTAGCAGCTGGTGATGGGTAGAAAATGCAGGCGGTATTTTCTTGAGCAGTTCTTGGTGGGAGGAAACCTATCCTAATAGAAAGTGCCAATATTTTTAAAGTGAGTGCTACGTGTTCAATGGCTGTTACGTGGTATATGTGCCTGACATACGATGTGGCTTTTCTTATGATGGTTCTGTCCCAGCCTGAAAAACACGTTGTTGCCTCTGAACTAGTCAGAAAACACTTAATTAGCACAGTGCCTTCCACAGTTATTTCTACGAGGAGTATAGCATTGTCTCAGAAGCATTAAACTCAATGGGGAAAATCTCCAAGAAGTGCTAATTTTTTGTCTGGGAATAGTATGATTGGGGATGAGCAGACAGACAGCATCAAAATGAAATGAAATCTCACACACGTGGTTGCTATTTTATGGAAATGACCTTCCCTTTTCCAAAGACAGAAGTCTTCCACGGGGAGCTGGAAGGTACAAACAGCTTGACAACACAGCATGTGAATGTGTGTCTCTAGCATAAACATAGCTAATATTTCCTATTATTGCTGTGTAGCACCCTCTGGGCAGCAATCAGTTCCATTTAAATACGATGAATATGAAAGTAATAATGTTTCAAATTTCACTCTTGTACATACTGTCAGGGGAAAGAATCTTGATAATTTTTTTCAGTAATCTGATAGTGAAATAAAATTAAAGCCTAATTCCTGTGACTCAGCTGGTGCTCTTTTTAATTCCGCACTGTCTGAATTTTTCAGGGTTTTGAAGGTATTCCTGTCCCGAACTGCTCAGCGTATTCCATACATGACAGGTGGGCGAGTGATGAGGATGCTGGCTGTTATTCTCCTGATAGTGTTTTGGTTTCTCGTTGGCTGGACCTCTGCAATAACCCAAAATTTGGAGAGAAATATTCCACTCATTGGCCAAGGGCAAACATCTGACCACCTGATCTTCAATATGTGCCTCATAGACCGCTGGGATTACATGATGGCTGTTGGTATGTTCATTTTCTAGCTTATCTTTTAATTTCTAAAATAAAGCTTGGATGCCTTTTCATTTTTCTTCTTTTGGAGTATCTTAAAGTTTTTTCAGACTGCATAACATCACGTGAAAAGCTTCTAGGAGAATGAAATATTGGCATATATGTTTTTTAAATGGGCTGAGAAGTAAAACATATTTAAAATATACTGAGAATTTTATGACTTTCAAAGGTTTGTAACTTGGATTGTAGTAACAAAGTGATGGGTGCTCAAGAAATTTTGTCCCTGAAGGCAGAAGATACCGTGCTTTTCTACACTATTAAAGTGAAAAAATGTGGCTAGAATAACAGAAGCTTTTTGCTTCTGTACCACAGAACTGGGCAGAGCTCTTGTGTGTGAAGAGGGAAGGAACTTGCGAGAGCACGCTTTCATAACCTTACAGAAATTAGTATCGAAGTAATGAGAATAGGAAATGCACATCAAACATCCCAGTGTAACATATTTGTTAGATGTGATCTCAATCCATGCGATAGGCAGGAGCTAAAAAATGACACCCTGCAGAACTCAAATCAAGGAGAAAAACGACACATCTTTGTTTCCTTTATTTTCTTATAAACAGTGGATTCCCCATGCCAGGGTTCACTTACACAGTATCATATGCTTCTTCCAGATGACCGAACAGCTTCGGTGCTTCTGCACCTAGAGCTGTTGTTTCTAGTACAGCCCAAATGTGCCACCTCCTATCTCAACTACATCAGTGGTTTGAAATCTGAAATAAATTCTTTCCTTTCTGCCCTTCCCCTGCTTCGCCCATGGACATTCATTGAGCTGTTGGAGCGAATCCAGAGGAGGGCCACGAAGCTGATCAGAGGGCTGGAGCACCTCTCCTATGAGGACAGGCTGAGACAGTTGGGATTGTTCAGCCTGGAGAAAAGAAGGCTCCGGGGAGATCTAA